TTTGAAAATAATACAATCAGTGCCGGGGATTTAGCTCAGTGGTTTCGCCACCTGCTGCGCAAGCGCAAGGACCCAAGTTCGATCCCCGGTACCAAAAAAAAAAAAAAAAGAAAGAAAATAATACAATCAGTACATTTTTAGCCAAGCTGAACAGTTCAGAAAAGCAAATAGAAGACACAATTAAAGGGCCTGGAATGAACAATTTTATACACACTTAAAGGATAATAAAGTAATGTTATGAATGTTGTTAGGTAAATAAATTCATCAAACTAGAAAAACTAATAATTTCCTTGAAAGAGCAACACAAAGCTCAGTCAGAAAGAAATAATTCAAATGTCTCTATTTATATTAATAAAATTGAAGTTGTAGGAGGATAGTTTTATCCTATACTGACCTTAGAAAATAAATTTAAAAGTTAGAAAACTGAAGAACAATAGTCTCTAAGAACGCAGACACAAGAGTCTTTAATAAAATTTTAGTAAGTCAAATCCAGTTACATATAAAAATGATACATTGTGACAAAATGGGATTTATCCTAGATATGTAAGATTGATTCAATATGCAAAAATCAATAAATATAATTTACTATATTAAAAAACTAAAAAGAAGAATGTAGATGATTATCTTAAAAGGTGCAAGAAAATCTTGACAAATTTCAATATCCATGGGAAGGGAAGTAAAAATTATTAAGATGTGACATGTTTATTTATCAATTCCTCACTATTAGTGTATTCATCATATATTGCAAACATGTGCTAATAAAAAAAGAATAAGCAAGAGAAAAAACTATCATCATGCAGTGGCACTGTGGCTGTTTATGTAGAAAATCCTAAGGGGTCCACCACAAAGAAATCCACAAGTAAGAAGCAAATTTAACAATGTCACAAGATATAAGGCCAAGATAGAAAAATCAATTGTATGTCAAAGTTCCAGTGGCAAACTATTGAAAATTGAAAGGTTTTAATTTATTGTATACATTGGCTTTGTCAAACATGAATTACTTGGGAGTAAACTTAACCAAAGAATGATGGTATGTAAGTAGAGCACTTGTAGACCTTGCTGAGACAAATTTATGGTCATAGAAATAATGAGACATATTTTTTCATAGTTTAGTCGACACAATCTTGTTAAGATGTCAACTGTCCCTAAGTTGATCTGCCGATTCAGTGCAATCTCAATCAAAATCTAAGGAGTTCTTTTTTAGAAATGTACATAGTAATGCAGAATCCTAAACTAACCAAAACAGATTGGGAAGACAACAATCACTACTTGATTTCAAGACTTACTAAAGAGCTAAAATAATCAAGACAGTGTCGTGTGAGCATAAGAACAGCAGAATACTGATTCATGGAAGTGAATCTGGAGCCCAGACATAGACCCACACACAGTCAGTTACTCTTCCATAAAGGCAGGTCAGTCAATACTACTGACCTTTGCGTTGTTTTTGTAACTAACTGACAACTCTGAATGCCTCTCATGAAATGATGCACTACTTTGTACCCTATCAGATATCTGTAGGGAAGGTATCTTGACACTCAATTTCCAATATATAAAGTGATATAAACCAGATGATTACAACAGTCTTTGAGCCCACTGGCACATAAGCCATACTTAATCAGTACTCTACACAGAAGCACTTTTAAAGTAGGATTATTATGGTAAAGCGAGCAGAGCTGTTAATAGTACGCCATTTTCTGACCAAAGACAACATTACTCCCAAAAGTGTCTGAAGAAACTACAAAAAAGGAAAAGCCTAATCGTAGATGCCAGTACGTAATTCCAAGTAAGCCTAGTGGAAAGAAAACAGGAGACAAACTTCATGAACACAACAGCCTGAAATAGCACACTGACTATAAATCACCTTACCGGAGGCATAAAGTTGTGCATACATCAGAACAATTCCAAGCCTATGGCCTGTGGCAACATAACATAGACACAAAGAAAATAAAGGCTCAGTTAACCAGAGAGGGGATGGGGATCTAATCTGACCTCTTGGTGAATCAGTGATTGAGTCATGCCACCAAAAAGATGTCACCAGGAAGCCGATGCAGCAAGGAACCAGCCCCTTGCTTCCTTGGTTCTCAGTTCTTTGTGCCCTTGATGAAAGAACTCAGTCAAGACACAGGTGGCCAGCAGGAGCACAGGTAGAATTTTCTGTAAAGTAGACACCACGATACACAGGGAGTTAGGCCTTCGAGCCCCAGGTGTGAATTTGAGCACCTTTCTATGCTGGGTTTCAGGGAAGTAGGGTAATTATGATGCTTATCAACCTTCTGCTTATGGGGTTGCAAAATGTCTTGCTGTCCTTTTTAGATGGTCAGTGTTTCCTCAGGGGCTTTAATCATGTAAGGAACTTGTGAAAGAAATGGAAGATAGATAAGTTTTTCATTTAAAACACGTCCCAGCCCAAGGCAGGAGGGTCTTTAAAGAATATTTCCTTTTCTGATATCATTGGGCTACAGGCTATGGCAGCCAGGAATGCTGTGTGCTTTGTTCGAGAACTAGACGGCCAGATGACCAGCAGGAATGTGTAACCTTAAAATTGTCATTGTGCTCTGTGGGGTTGCTTTGGTTTTGAGACCTATAAATGATTATAAATGTACTGTACATTGGAGCTTTTGTTTCTTAAGTATAACTGCCGGAGCATGCTATTTTGGACACGCTACCCTCCCTTGTCCCTCAGGACTGCTGATGTCTAACTAGCTGCCTAACAGTGGGAAAAGTGGACAAGGCTGTGAAGCAGGTAGGACTCTCATTCACCGCTGCTAGGAAGGCAAAATGGCACAGTGCTTTGAAAAGCAGTGTGTGCGCTTCTTGATGAAGTTAAATATACACTTACATAGCACCCCACCCTTCTATTTCTGGAAATGAACCCAGAGAAATGGAAATGTACAGCCACCTGAAGTCATGGACGTTCCTAACAGCTTTCTTAGTAGTTCAAAACAAGACCCACTACAAATATCATCAACCAGTGCATGGAAAAACAAACTGACATAAAGGAACAAACTGACGCATGCAATATATATTTTGCCGATTCTTGTTCTTTTCCCCCTTTAACTCCCTCCTGCCACACGTCTACCACTATCAACTGCTTGAGGCCAGCAACTCTTCTCTTTTCTTTCGTATTCCCAGGGCCTAGCACAGAGCCTGTTGGATGAAAGAATCGCATGGCTTTTCAATGTCTGTAAAGTTCTTATATTCTTTGCACTCAGTTCTTTCTCATACACTCTGTTTGGAGAAGAACACCCTTCATTTCAACTTTGGGGTGACCAGTTGGCAAAGTTTCCAGGGATGGGAGAAAAGCTCCTGGGCCTCTACCCCTTTTTTCTTTCCTCTCTGTCCACAAGAGGTTCAAGCCAAGATTTCTCCTGTCCCTCCCTTAGGCTCTGGCACAGCACCAGTCCTAATGTTCAAATCATGCGCTCCTTTGGCCAAACTTTGGTGCCAGCTTGTAATTTGGCTTTTGCAATATGTTCTGGCACTTCACATGTTGTTTGGCCTGCAAAGAGGAGGCTCTTGTCACCACATGGTAGTGGATGGTCCCTTCCCTCAACCCTGCTGCAGCTCTGGCCACGCCACTGACCCTTGCTGAGGGCTTGCCTTAGGTTCCTTCCGCAGGGAACAGACCCTTCATGTTTGAGCTTTTTGGCTCCAGAGGGCCATGTCACCCTGGAAGCCACTAAGTTTTTGCCTCTTGGGAAACTTGATGTCTTTTTCACGTGTCGGTGACACGTATGTTCCCAGGTCCAGCATCCCACAGCAGCTGAGAAGGAACATCAGGGTGCCACCCTCAGGAGCAGAGGCTGCTGAGGGTCAGCGAGCCAGGAGCCAAGCACATTGTGATTTCTTGGAATAGATGACTATTTTTGCTGGTGTGTGTTTCTTTTTTTTTTTTTTTTTTGGTGTGTGTTTCTTACTGGGATTTTTTAGGAGGTGGGAGGGCACGGACTCATAATATAAACATAAATTTGCTTTTCTAAATTTAATTAATCCATTTTTCAGCATAAGCATGATAGTTCCCTGTTTGAATTCATTAGTTGGAGTATTTGTGTGTACACACAAGCAGGGGAGGGGGAATTGTGTGTAACCTGTATGTAGCACATGTTCAGGGAATCCCAACATATGAGGAGGGGCTCTTACTATTCCAGCTACAGTAAAATTATAATGCTAAATTGTTCTGGAATACTCTATTAGAATACCAGAGTATTTTACATTCATACTACATCATACTATGTGCCAGGCCCTGTGTGAAACACTCTTCAAGGTTTATTTCCTTTCATCTTACGTCAACCATGTGAGGCAGGCTAATATTAGATGGACCACACAGATGAGGGGGCAGAGCTTTAGCAAGGTAGAGCCATTTGCTTAAAGTCACACCTTTGGAAGTGACAGAGCTGGCTTCTGACCTCACCAATCCGACTCTATAACCATGCCTTTTTTTTCCTTTTTTCTGTTTTGAGACAGAGTCTTGCTATGTACTTCAGTCTGGCCTTGAACTTTGGGAGATCCTCCTGCCTGGGAGCAGATAGTCCTCCTCTGCCTGAAGGAGATACTCCTGTCTGTCTGTAATCCTGGAGATTAGAGATGTGTACCAACACGCCCAACTCTACAACCATGCTTTATTTTTATTCATTAAATTTGTTGGTACATTTTAGGTGTACAATATGATGACATTCAGCATTGGGAATTTGTACCTGTACATGCTGTATCTTGGTTCTTATTTTTTCCCCATTCCCTGGCCCTCCCTATTTACAAAGACTTCATTTCTGTTGTTTTCTTTTCTCATAAATAGGACACACATGTGTAAATACTGAATAGTTTCTCTGGTATGACAAACTGAAAGTGTAAATAAGGACTAAAAGGTATAATAGATAATGTGAAATAGGAAGAAAAGGGGCAAAGGGGAAGGGGAAGTGGGAGGCATAGAGAAAAGGAAAGAAGGGAAAGGAACGAGTAAATTTGAGAAAATAAATACAACCATATCTTTTATCTCCATGTAGTGAGACTGATGCTTTCATCTTTGGAACAAGACTGTCCAATAAGGAAGGAGGACATTAGCCACCTCTCATTCTGTATAACTGGCCGTGGATCCTACTCGAAGGTAAGGGTCAGTGTCTGGACTCTGACTTAAGGAGCTGGTTAATTTTCTTCTGCAGAAGCAACTGCTTGGTCTTTCTCAAACACCCTCTAACTTAGACCCACAGGGACTTGACTGTGGTTCCTGGGGAGTGGTGAGGGCAATAGTGACTGTCTGGGAGCCTGTAAAGAACCGTAGCCCTGGTGGGAAGAGAGCCTTCCACCATCTCTGAAAAAGCACTAGCAAGGGCCATTCCTTCCTTGGTTCATCCAGCACATCCAAGCAACTCTTTCTTGGGGTGATAAAGACAGCAGCAGGCCCCACCTTCACAGAGCGTACAGTCTGGCAGAAAAGACACCCAATTCAATGAGCAATTATAACCCGAGAGCCACGCTGGACGAAGTGCTGTGTGCTCTGGGGGCGCTGCACCCTAAGGGGACACTGTCTGCTAAAGAGAAGTGACATCAGGGTGGGAGCTGTGGAGAGACACCTCAGCGAACACTAGGACAGTTCCAACCATGCTCAGAGGTGAAGTAAGACCCGGGGCGTTCAGGAGGGAGGGAGTCCACTCGGGCTGTCCCAGGACATTTTCAACATCCACCAAAGAAACCATATGTGTCTCTGGGACTGCCAGAGAGAAATACACACTGGAGAGTTTCAGGATTCTGGTGTCTCTGCTGGTAGACACACAGAGCCTAATTTTTTTTTCATTGCAAATGTCGATCACACTGTCGGCTGGCTTTGCTCTACAGAAATTTGATTACACGCAGCAATTGCTAAAAGAAGTGTCTTTTTTCCACATATAATTTTTTTTTTTGTACATGAGAACTGCTATCCTCCCAGGGAGAGAAATTCATTTTCCAAAGTTAGTTTTTCTAAGAAGTAAATTCTCGTCGACTTTGAAAGGCTGCCCGAAGTGACTTGGGGAGCCTGGGAAATACTTCGGCAATGACAGAGGGCAGCGCCGGCTGTCTAAGTTCTCCTCAAGTCTGCACCAACAAAGCCATGCAAACTCCTGCCCTGAAAAACTGTGGGATTTCGCTGCAGGTTCTCAGAAACATCTTTGAAGTTTCTTATAATTTTATTTAAAAATGTTAAATAAATTGTGCATTAATTGCATAACATAACAAAGAATATTTTAGCATGAGAACAGTATGTTACCTCCAAATTTTTGAGCCATTAAGGCTGCAGGAAATGAGCAGGCTGCATATCCCAAAGTGAGAAAATTTTTTCACTCTTTATCATTACACTCTGCCTTTTTAAAAACCATAATACTACCACCATTGGCACAGTGATCCCAAATCTAAACCAAAATCTTGGGATTCATTCTAGATCTATTTGGATCTGTATTTTTTGTTTTTATTTTTTAATATATAATTGGGGACAGCAATATTTCCCATTATAGATGCTATAAGGACTAAATTGAAGTAATGGATATAAATTACCAGGAAATGATAGATGCTTCCCAAGAATTTCTTTTCTTCCCATAGGTGTGTTTCGATGCAATTTTGACAGGTGACAAAGAAATATAGTAAGCATCTTCTAAATCATGACAGAATTTTTCATCACATTATGTGAAAGTCAAAACACTTAAAGTTTAAAATAAGTAATTAGGGTTCTAGAATTTTCCCTTCTATTTTCAATTCCCTTGCTGACTTTGAAAATCATTCTATGAACTGATCTTTCTATCCAAAAGTTGCAACAGTAACACTGACTTGTATGGGGGGGGCGGCGGTGAGGTTTTAAAAGACATTTTAAACACACCACCGTGCGTTGAAATACACCACTCTGTGTGCCATCATGACTTTGATTTCCTAAGTCCATCTGAGAAGTTCGCTGAGGACCATTCTGATAGAATGGAAATTGCTGTCTCCTGGGCACAAATGAGAAATACAGGGGGAAAGAGATGGTCCAGCCTGCCAAGGTGACATGGGAAATGCTGAGCTGGCCGGCATGAGGACGTCAATGTCCCTGATGTTCGCCCATGGCAGACAGAAGCACATCTGTGAGGTTATCAAGTCCCCAGTGTTGGGCTCACAATCTGAAACTGACCAAGGCCTCCCTGACATTCCTTTTAATGATTTCACCAAAAGACAGGAGAGAGGAAAAGAGAAAATGTCGTCAGACTTCGAATACATAGCTTATTATATTTTTTAATCACAATGTGGAATCCTATCTCAACAAGTGAAATTTAAATGGAGACCCATCGGGCATGTGCCATTCGAGTAGATGAATGTTATTCTGTTTTAAAAAGCGGCACGTGGAGAACTAAAATAAGCTATGTAATACAAATAGATGGATTCATTAGCTATATGAATTAGGTAAATGTTCAAATTAAATTTTTTGTGTAGTAAATTGCAATTTGTCATTTTTATACAACAAAAGGATTTTAAAATATTTAGTTATAAGTTACTAAAATTACTTTTATAGCCAGATTCCTCTAAAGGTAAATTTGCTAACAATAGCCATTTTAAATAAAGAAACATTCCAAAGAGTTTATTAGACAGCATTGAAGAAAATAAAAATCCACTACTAATACAAAAAGTTTCTCCCTTTGCCGTGGTAAAGAACAAAACATTATATAAATTACTATCATACCCTGAAGAGTTATTGCATATTTTGATAAATATGATAGATGTAAATGGTTTTAAGAAACAATAAGCTAGATATTCAGGCTAACATTTCATTGTGTAGACAGGATTTTCATTGCTTATGTGTTAGATGTGTATATATCTTAAAAGTATTGTTAGCATTTCCTTAATCTGTTTTGTTCATTTGCTGCCTTTATAATAACCCCAGTGCCCTGCAAATAGAGTCTCACAAATTTAATCTTTTACTATTAGATTGCATTTTAGCATTTCCAGGGCTATTTTGGAAAAAAGACAAGAGGAACACTTTAATGCCAGATTGTCACATGAAATTAAATCTATGTTCTTAAAAATGAAATGGCCCATTCAGCACACAGTTGTGCTCTTGCAGAATTGAATCGAACACTGTTTCTGGTTTTTCATATTGCTCAGAACTATTTCTTGCCATCTGGAAAATTCCTTTCTGAAATAATCTGTGCAATGTTTCATTTAAATTGCAAGCTAGAATAATCTCCTGCATTTCACTAACATTTCTAGAACTGCTATGTAAATAGGCCCATCAGAATACCAACTTATATGTGCAATAAGAGAGATACAAATAGAAAAACCACTATATTTCTGTTTAAGCATCTATTGCTGATGCTAATTACCAAGTATAATCTTTTGCCTGATTCGAGTTAACACTTGAAAATCTATTTCTTGAAATTGGCTCCTTGTCATGAATATCAAGATATGTGAATTTCAAATCAAACTTCCTAAGAATTACAGTCAGATTTTTCCTATGTGTATTTTTATGCCAGGTTTGCTAAAATGATGTTAGTTATGATGGCATGAATTTGTTTCATGCCCTCTGTGTGCCATACCTTACACTTAGTACTTTATGCAACTTATCACCTTTAATCTTTATAAAACTCTGTAAAGTAAGAACTGTTATACGCATTTTGCAGATGAGGAAACTGAAGCTTATAACCATGCAGTAACTTACTGTGTTACTCAGCTTTCTGTTGCTATAACAAACAGCTGAGTTATTTACCTTATAAGGAGGAAAGGTTTATATGGCTCAGAGATTTCAGTCATATTTGTTTGGGTCTGTTGCCTTCGGGCCTATAGCAAGGTGGCACATCCTGCTGGAAGAGCATGGTGGAGGAAATTACTCACTGCATGGCCATCAAGAAACAAAGAGAAAGGAAAGGTCTAGGATCTCAGTGTCCGCTCGAGGACACTGGCCCCTGACCTAACCCCCTTCCTCGAGCTCCCACCTCCTAACGGTCCTGCCACTTCCCCGTAGTGTCACACTTCAGGGTCCAAACTCTCAACACCTGGGCTTCAGGTGACATTTCAGGTCCACATTATAGCACTTAGGCAAGGTTTTTCAGTCAGTAAGTGGTGAAACAGTGATTGGAAAGAAAAGATCTTGACTCCAGATCTCACGTTCCTAAACTACTGTAGTATGTAAAAAGAATACATGCTATGTATCAAAACAATAGGCATTAAGAACACACAGAAAATAGCATAAGGAATAAGAGTGCCAAGGAGGCCAGGAATTAGCCCAATCCATGAAATCTACAGTACTTGCATAGGTTGAGCTACAGATGTACTCTAAGCTTTCTAGCAGTCTTTGCAAGAACCCAAAAGAATATGGTGCCTATGTTACAAAATAGAACCATTTGGGCAAGTGAACTGCAGCTCTTCTTTATATACATGAAGACAATCAAGGCAGTCTTGCCAGCACCCTCATAAACAGGCAATGAAACTGTGCAGTATCATGAAGCCCATTTTCAATACTATCCTCGCAGTAAATGTGATTATGAACTGTCCTGGGCTGTTTCTTCCAGATCTGCTCACACAGCAAACAGCACAGTTCACTTAAAGCGATTCTCCGGGAGGCCACAGAGCACGTCCAAATGCACACGGGCCATAAGCAAGAGCAAGGGCATAATGTCGCCCAGAAAATTGAGTTGGAAATAGAACACTTAACCAGAAACAAGTAATAAATTCACTACCTGGTTTTCCCTCACTAAAGACAATAGCTGACTCTTGTCTGTAGTCATAACCTAGACATAATATTTTTCAGGAAGTAAAACTAATGAAACATAAGCTTGAACCCTAAGAGTTTGGGCCTTGATAACGAACCTTTCCAAATGCCTGGTAAGGTGTTGTCCGAACTCAGCCTCCAATTTCACACTTACTTATCTTTCTTTATATAATTTGTACATATTTTTCAACTATGATTTTTTTGTTGTTGTTCTTTTTATCTCTACCTGAAAACATCTTACCCATTGTGATTCCTCTTCCATGATCTCTTTACAAATTTTTCTCTGCTCCTGCTAACGCAACAGAATGGACCAGGTCACATGCTGTGTTTCCACCACACTTTAAAGTACAGTAGTAAAGGTGGATTTGTTCTGAATGTTTGCTATTCACCAGGCACTTTGGCCTTAATACTAGCATCACAGAGAAGATGCTAGTATTGTCCCCATTTTGTGGATGAAGCAATGGGGATACCGAAGGTAAAGTAACTTGCCCAATATCACACAAAGTAAGCGGCAGAGTCAGCTTTCAAAGCCAGGCATTCTGGCTCCCATGCTCCAGTGGTTGGCAGTTTCCATCTTTAAGATGGTATCCACCACTGGTTATCATTTGGCACCCGATACTTGGTTGTTTATATTCTTTCTGTGTGTCTCTCTCTTTTGAGATACTAAGAATCTAAGGCCTTTTCATGGAGCTACATCCTCAGCCCTTTTTAAATTTCTATTTTGAAACAGAATCTCACTAAGCAGCTAAGTTCCCCAGGCATGGCTCGAACTTTCGATACTCTTGCCTCTGTCTCCCAGAATACCGGGATTACAGGTGTGTGCCACTACACTGGCTTTTCTTCCACATGCAGAGTTGCGTGTCCTACCCTTCTTCAGTTTTTCATTCCCCGTTCGTTCATCTGCCCAGCAGAACCTGGCTCCTGCACCGCCGAACCGCGACACTGTTCAGAGCAGCCCATGGCCTCAACATTACTGGACTCCTCTCTCCTTCTGGAAACAATCCTTTCCCCTGTTTTCTGTTTCTCTTTCTACACCATAGGCTGTTCCTTCCCAGTCTCCATGGTTCTTCTCTTTTTCTCTACTCTTAAATTTTCATCCCAACCCACTGTTCCGTGCTTAGTTCAATTTCTAGCATTCTTTCCTTATCCCTTTGTGCACTTCTCCCCAGGAAACTCATCTATTCCCATTATTTCTTTCTGGCCCAGATCTTTCTCTTGAGCATATCCATATGATCAGGGTTCCCCTGTACTTTCCTAGCTACATCTGTATCATACACACCACACCTCTTCCTTTATTTTCTCTCCTTAGCACCTACTATGCCAATATTCAACTATTTGCTGAACAAGATAATTTAGGTAAACCAAATTAGAGAATATTTTGGTAAGTCAGGTTGAAACGATGATGCTCTGAACTAGAAAACTCTCTGGAGAAAACCTGAACTCAAAAGACACAACAGGCGGGCCTTGGAGATGGATTACATAGAGGCTGAGAGCAAGACTCAATCAAAACTCCTGGGTGTCTGTCACAGCCACTGAGCTTATGTGGAAAGAAGAGGTTTGGCCTTTGTCTTTGATCAACTTACTGAGTAATTGCCAATATATTGACCTGTTTTGTTTCGTGCTGCCTACAGACATTCCACTACACGAGACAGAACCCAGTGAGGAAGATGTTCTCCCTAAGCCATGAGTAGACAATAGACAATAAAAGTCTATTGTCTTTTATTGAGTAGCTCCACAATACTATAGGCTCTGTATATATTTTCTCCTTCAGTACTCACTTAAAACAGGGCCACTCATTTAACACTTGGAAAGGTTAAGTAGCTCCATCAAGTTTGCAAGTAAAGTAGCTGCCTTAGTTACTTTTCTTCTTTACTGAGACAAAATACCCAACACCCAAAGTTAAAGGAGGAAAGGTTTATTTAACTTACAGTTCATAGAGGTTTCAGCTCATAGTTGGCTGGCTCCAAGGCAGGGTGGCATGGCAGAGGGGAAACAGTCCATAGCAAGCAGGCAGGAGGCAGCAAAGCAGCAAAGAAGCAGCAAGTGACCACAGCAGCCCTCTCTCTTCCCTTAGGGTGAGTAGTACTCACACCCAGGGTGGGCCTTCCCATTATCCACACCCAGAACTATGCCAAACCAGTCAGTGCACTGATTTAGTAATCACACACCCTTGATCTCAGCATCACACACTTAAATCCCAGCATCTGACACTCTAGATCCAGCCACCTCTGAAAAGCCCCTCCTATAACAGCATGAGGCTTTGGGGGGACATTACACACAAAGCAATAATAGTAGCCACGGTAAAAGTTAAACCTAGATTAGTCTGATACCAATGGCTGTCCTTTAATAAGATGGTATATTGCTTTCCTACATGTAGTTAAATTGTCCAGGAAAATAAATGTATATTAGATAATTCAGAGGCTAGAATGAGAGGACATAGGCTATCCCCATTGGGGCATACATTTTCATGTGATTCAGTGAAAGATTTTTGCTCTTTATTAATTCTTTTATGTGATCATTTTAAACTGAAGTGCTTTTAGGCCCAACTTCTCTCAGTACTGGATAGAATTGTTGGGATGCTACTTGACATAAAAATATAGATGGAGTTGATTCTTCATGACTTTGTGCATCTCCCTATTGTCACCACCATTTGTTTGTTTCTTAGGGGGAAGAATTTAAAGTTTGTTTTGATCAAAACTGCTACTTCCTTTAGTAGTGGGACTCCAGGAGGCCCTCGGAATAGGAAAAATTTATAGGAAGTTTCTGCAACAGAAGAAGAAAGAGAAAAGAAAACGGGCATTCTGGTAGCAAAAAAAGATTCTCAAATGAATGCAAAGGAAAATCAAAGATAAGAAAAAGTATTCACAATTTGAGGTGGAAAATAAGAACCCTTAACACCAAAGGGAAAAGTTGTGGAGAGGGAGAGGGAGACTGACTGATACCCTACAGGTCAAGGCAGAGCCCGGGCTGGGACTGAGAGCCAGGCCGGAAGCAGGTTCTCAGCAGCTGTGCTGCTTTCCTGGCAAGCTGGAGGTAAAGTGCCGGCTGGACAGAGTGTGAGGAGGTGTCAGAGAAGGGCATGTGACAGCACACCTGCCAGGCCGCAAGGAGAGAGACTGAGAGTATGTGCTGTTTGCTTGTTCCTCCAGCAACCGAGCGCCTGGACCAGCCGGCCCTACCTCACCTCATACAGGCACACGCGTGCCCCAAGGGACAGCTCAGGGCGCCTCAGCCATGCAGCAAGCTCAGACCCCAGACGACGGCAGAGAAGCCAATGGGACAGTGCAGTGTGTCTTTTATATCTCCCGGGAGACCAGTTAGAAGAATTAAGAGAGCAACATTTAAGAATGAGGACATGAGAGGAACTCTTTTTTCCTAATGGAGTGAAATTGCAGAGTCTTTTAGGCCAGTTCCTTTTAAAGTGATCTCTTGCCCTTTAAGAACTAAAAAACAGTTGTTTAATGTCCCTGAAAGTTTCTTGAAACAAGTAATTTGTCCCCCTTTTTTTTTCTAAGCAGGAGGCCAAAAATAGAAGCCATTTGGCTTCCTCTTCTGAGGCAGATCTGGATAAGCCTCGCCTGAGAAAATCCTCCTTGTACATTAACCAAGGGAGCTGTCACAAAGGAATTTGGGAATCATTGCAGGCGTGTGTACACAGAGCGTCCAAACGGGAAGCAAAGCTGGGCCTGGTTTTCTTCAGCCTCAGACCACACTTCTGTCTCTGCTCCTTACTAATAAGGGGAAGAAATCGCTTCAGACCCTACTGCTGCCACCTCCTAGGAGCTCCAGCAACTTGAGTCACCACAAGGAAGATGGTCAGGTGTACGGTTTAATCCCATCTTGCAGAGTTTCTGCCCTTGTGGAGTAAAAATACTCTCTGTCAAAAGGGCATGTTAAGTAACCCTAACTAACCTTGGGCTGGGGATGTAGCTCAGTGACAGAGCATTTGCTAGCACGTGCAAGGCCTTTGAAGACAATGACAACGATGATGATAAGAAGTAGCTTTCCCGTGCTAAGCTTTTAACATCCTGTGCCATGTAATCTGCACAGCAACCCCATGAGGAAGAACTACGGTGATGCCCATATCACAGATGCCCACGCTGAGGCGCAGAGGTGCTGAATGCTGTGGCTGCACAGGGAACCAAGATTAAAGCCAAGCAACGGGACTGGGCTCTGGACTTGCAGAACAGGAGTGCACAAGCTCATAACACGAATCAGCACGTACTTTATGCCACATCACTGGAATGCAGCACTGCTTGCAAGGAAAAGGATGACTTCAACACAGCTGAGGCCAGAGAGGAGGGGGCAGGACCAAGGGAGGACTGGCTCCTCCTAGAGCAGAAAGGAAGTCATTTTTCACTAGCACATGAAGTTGTTATCTACTTTGAAGCCAGCTGTTTGAGCGAGCGCGTGACTCCCGTGGATGTGTGTGAGCAGACCTGCTCTGTTGGTTGCAGTCTCTAAGCTTTACCTTCTTAGCCCCTAGAAGACAAGTTCTTCCATTTCAGGTCACCTGCCACCAAGGCCCCCAGTTCCTGGGCTGTCTGTGTCCAGTGAAGGAGACTCCAGAAGAAATTTGACTGTTCGTGAGCCCTGATCTGGAACAGAGAGGAGGAAAGGTCTTTTCCTTCACCTCCCCCACCACCACCACTTAAAGTCCTCACGCCTCCTCTGCAGTTTTTGGCAGACCTTTCAGGAAATATTAAGTTAGACTAAAAATTCAGAGGTCTCAGTAACATTCGGGGCTAATTTAAAACATCCAGCATACTACAAATTCAACATAGAATTATTTAAACATTGGTTCTACTTATTTTAGCAAGACAGCAGCTGCCTAGAATCAGAATTGAGAACAAATAAATAAGAGTGAAACGAGGATGGATTTTCGCAGGAGCTAAAATTAAAATGTCTTGTGTGATGAGTGCATTTCAACAGCCACAAAGCACCTCAACGCGCACAAACAGTGACTCAAAGGAGGATCAAAAGGTATCACTGCCTGCTTGGCCTCCCCCATAGCAAATGAGACACTGAAGGCCTGGGTGGCAACTATGTGCTTCCTCTTTGGGTGCACATTTAGCCTGTCTCTGCAGGACAGATTTGGAACAAAAGAAAAGGAAGTGGAAAGAACAACTTCATCTTCAGATGTAATTCCAACCAAACTGGGAATTTGAGGGGTCTTCTATTGGTCACACTCTATCTTCTTTTGCTTTTGGGGGTGCTTGTTTACCTTCATGCAAATATACTAAGAAGTCAGAACTGCAGACATTTTAGAGCCAGGAATTCTCTCGTGCCCAAAAGCCACTCCCATCCACACAGGACACTTCTGTTTCATCTCAGCATTGATTATATTCTTTGCGAGCCACTAAGCTGTGACGAAATGTGTGCTTTCCTGAGACAACATGTAAGCATTTCATAAAGGAGCCCCCAGTACTCATGAACTATTTTCAGACACAGTATTTATGAAACTATTAAAAACTCATTCCTCTTGCCATCTTTTTATAAGTTGAAAAGCAAGCATAGGTTATTTATATCATTTCCCTAGAGACACTAGTAATTTTGGTCTGGAAGATATTTGCATTTAAGATACATCATGCAGCTGGCATCAGTGTTTTGTTTTGTTTTGTTGACTTGTATTTGTACACTCATCTATTGGTAGCAATTCTATTAGCTCTTTTAAAGGGTTAGGTAGAGGAAACATAGAAATATATCATGCCTCTACGTCAAAATATGAAGAACAAAAAAAAGATAATAGGAAATAAGGAGATAGGAAGGGAAGGGAGGAGAAGAAAAGGAAATGAAGTGAGAATTGAGATGTGTTATTATGTGTACCAGCTCCCCACAAGGAATGTAATCATTATGTGAAACCAGCATGCACCAATGAAAAAGAAAAAAATACAGCTGAAAAATTTTGTGCTTTGAAGTGAGACTGAGACAATCTCTGAAGAAAGCTGAGTAGACATGCACTGTCTCTCCACTAAGGAGGAAAACGAGACCTCAGAACAAAAATTATCCTGAATCTTCCCCTTCTGTAAAAAGACAGACTTCCCTTTTTGAGTGGAATAAGTGGAGAATGTGTTAGAACTGACTTGCATGTGCCAGAGAGAGAACCCTGTGCCTCCAATGTCCACCCTGGATCTGAGAGCCCCAGTGTTGGGTGTGAAGTGAGAACCTGTGTTGCTTTCTGGCTGTGCATTTCGAGTGGACGCACTTGGCATGGGGCGGGGGTGCTGGCCATTTGGGAGGATTGAATGAAGCTGGTTTCCTTCTCTATAGAACCACCACCAGTTCCATCATTTTCCGGAGGCTGCTGCCTGAGAGCAGGTTTTAGACGTGAAGGCCTTTGAGGTGAGCAAGTAGCTGTCTTAAAAACAGGTTGCAGTGAATGAGATCGCTTGGTCTGCCCCCTCGAGTTTTGGGAGCCGCAGTTCCCATTCCCAGTGCATTGTTGCTTCCTTAAATTCTTGATCCTCAGAACCAGCTTCCTGGATCATGGGCTGAACCCCTCACCTTGAACTTCTTCAGGCTTATTCGTCTGGGTTATTATTCTGATTTGCTAAGTAGGTCATAACGGGAAAGCAAGGCGAGTCATTGCACGAATGACCCAAGACCCTTCCCTCGGCCTGCCGCAGCGCGTCGCTGTGTCCTCTCAGTGCCACTTCCCAGAGCACGTGGAGCCTGCCCTCTGGACTCTGGACTCTGTCCTCACCAGTGCCCCCCTGGGGGTCTAACGAGCCCTCCTTGGATAACCGCTGGAGAGCTGTCCAGCTGTGCTCCTATCCGCCCCTTCTCCCCAGGTGCCCCAGAACTGCGGGCTCAGGTGTTGCGCCTGGGTAGAGTGTGGAACCTTCCTCGTGCCCCCAGGGCACTGAGAGCGAGACTAACGCAGCCTGCTCTGCACCACAGGCCTCTCCCAGGTCAGCTCCTTTCCAGCCTCACCCAGTGCCTCATGTCCTCCTGCCCCCTCCACGGCCGTCCCAACGGAGGACCCTGCCTGCCTGGGACACCTGCTGTGCCTTGGGATGCTTATCCTCTTCCCCCATTCAGCCGCTTCCTCCAGAAAGCCCGCCAGGCCTCCCGGGCATGCAGCCCTACAGCACATACGCACTGCAGGAAAGCTGAAAATTGGTCAAACTCCGAGCAGGGGCATAGCTGGTGTCAGTGTTAGAAATTCTGAGGAAAATAAACATGCCACCTCCAAAATCTAATCTGAAAGGTATGTTATTTGTTTAATCCAGGAAAAGAATCAAATTAGGTTTTCAAAGAATAAAAACTTTTAACTGGCAGCATCAAAAATACTAGTTTGCACAAATACTTTCCATAGTGTCTTTCCAGCCTGCCCCCCCACCCTGCTCCAAACTCCTAATGACCACAAGATAAATGTGAGAATTTTTTTACCCTGTCCTCAATCAAAACCTGGGTTTTCCATGTATAACTAGGCCACAATCATCACTTTCTATGGCCAAAATGAATTTCAAATAGACAGACCTTTTGCCTTGCATATATAAGCAATTGACATCCCTGCAACCAATCAGATTAAAGGGCAGGAGAAGGGAAAGCACCAGTGGGGAGGCCTCCTGAGGAAATGTGTATTTGACCAGCAAGGGAGGCCACACGGAGCCCTGGCACTTTCATCTTTCACCCTCTGACGGATCTGATTGCTGTTCCCTCTCGGACCTCACCTGGGTCTCTCAATTTAGACCCAAACGATGAGGAGATGGAAAGATCAAACAAACTGGTCTTTGAGGAACAGCAAAGACAAAACAAAGAGGAACAGTGGAGTCTGGGAGGGAGGAGGGTCCCACAGCTTCTGGCTTGCATTTTTGGGCCACAGGTGACAGCAAGGGGAGGCGGAAGTGGCGGCTCACAGGTATCAGAGAGCATCCACAGGCCCCTCCTGGGCCCCTGGTCCAGCTGGTGAGCTGCTGTTTGATCTTCCGCTGCTGCTGCTGAGGCTCTGGGAAGGATGGAAATACAGAGGGATCCTTCAGATAGATCTCGTCTTTCAGTTTTCTTTTAAAATGTTGGGGTGATCTGGGCATGGTGGCAATTGTCTTCAATCCCAGCTACTCGGGAGGCTTTGGCAGGAGGATCCCTTGAGCCCAGAAGTTTGCAACAAGCCCGGGCAGTGTAGCCAGACCCCATTAAGAAAAAAAATAGGTATGA